GGTGGAAAAAAGATTGGGTGAGGAGAAATATCCTATATCTTTTGTAGGGCTTATCAGAAAAAAGATGTTTTTGCAAATTCTAAGATAATTCAAGGTTGGTTGGTTGGTTGGTTTTATAAAGAAATGTATAGAGGGATTATGAGGACAGACTGTAAAAGGATGGGCAGTTATAAATTCAAAAAAAAATATCTAGTCCAGTCCAGTGGTTCTTAACTCTGTTTTTCCAATAACCTAGGGCATCTCCAAATTATTTGGTAAATCAAAATATGTACACAGTATGCTGTAAAAAATGCTAGTTTTGGAATAAGGAGAGATTTGGATAGGAATCCTACCTCTGACACTTATTAGTTGTAAGACATTGGGCTGTATGGATTGACCTGTGACTTCCCTGAGCCTTAGATTCATCTGTAAAATAAAATGAGGGGGTTGTTGGATTCTAAGGTCAGTTAACCTCTAAATTTATGATCCTATAAACCTCTCTGCACACCAGCTTTCTCATCTGTAAAATGAGGAAAATAACTAGTCACTTCTTCATCTAAGGAAGACCTATGAAAAGTCTTTTTAAGTCTGTAAGTACTATACAACTGTCAGTGAACCCTTGAGAGCAGAAATCCTTTTTATATTTGTCTTTGTATCCCTAAAACATAAATTGAGAAAGAAAATGGGGATCTTTAAATAAAATCAAATGACTACACAGCATCAACTCAAATTGGGAATCATGGCTTTGGACCATACTGCTTCCCAAAACATGGCCTAAGGTGAATTAGTTATGTTGGCACATGGTCTACTCAGTCACTTAATCACTAAGTATTTAAGTTATTAAGAACCAATCACGTGCCCAACACTGTGCTAGACGATGGGAAATCAAAACCAAAATCAAAAAAGTCCTTGTCTTCCAGGAACTTACATTCTAACATTTATCAACATTCATAATGACAATTCCTCAACTTTTATTTTTGATTTGAATACTTTTACTTAGATTTTTTAATGACACTACTGAAAAGCAACAAGGTTCTCATTGATTCTGGTCAAGTTTTTGTTGTTGTGGCAAATGCACTAGCCATATGTGTCTCTTAAGCCTTAGCTAAAGAGTTTTTAGCTCCTTAAGCCTATCGTTATATTTATATTAGAATTGCCAAATCCACAAAATTGTTTTTTCCCCTACATTAAAGTACTTGTGTCTTATTAAATGGTTGTGTCCTCTATGACACAGAAAACTTTTGTAGGCGAGACTCTCAAAAAAGAAACTCAATTCAACTTCACACGATGTAGTATCCCATTTTTGATTCATTTCTGGAATTAAGCTCTTTTTTTGAACTATTTTCTAAGCTCATAACATTAATTATCTCTAGGTTACCTAAGGAATGTGTCTCGGTTAAACTCAAGAAGATGCCTAGACAGTGATTCATTCTTGAAGAATGACTACGAGCCTATTTTGAACCCTTCTTATTTGAACCTCCCCAAATGCACTTCTACCTAATTTGGACATCTCATGCTAATGAAAAAAAAATACAGAAAGATTAACAGCTTGACAGATGTTTTCATTTTCTACCTGGATCTTATTATATTTTGTATCTGAACAGCAAAAAAAAAAAAAAAAATCACTAAGGCAATTATATTTTAACTGTAATCACATATTTTTATTAAGCATACAAGGGCTATTGGCACATGGATTTTAAAAGTTGACAAGCAAAGTGCTTCTCTACAAACCAAGGCTGCTTACCTTATTACTTTGGTTTAAATAACATTAAACTTAAATATAATTTTTATAATTCTTTCATATTATGATACTAAACTAATGAAACTAGAATTACGTCCTTTACCCACTATGAAAAGAGCCAAAAGACAAAAGTTCTACTCGTGTATGAATGTAGAATTAAAGAGTAATTGTTTCCTAGTTAAAAAAATATATGCGTGTGTGTGTATGTGTGTGTGTGTGTGTGTGCGTGCATGTAAGAAAATGTGTTAGTCAGAGGACTTCAAGATAAGATAGTATGAAAGGTTGCAGAGGAGCCCAACTCTCCCACATATATTCCAGCAATGACCTAAAAAAGGCAGCAGACTAAATAATGATATAAAAATTCAAAGAGAAATATCACTAACCTCCTTCATCTGGCCTAAGTTTGTACAAAAAGACAGTGAGATCTATGACAAGGAAAAACAGCATGAACTCGGATGAAAAGGCCTGAAACTTTGGACACAGAAGGTCTGAAGTGACTGGAACAAAAGATTAAGAATTTAAAAGGGAATAATGAAAAAAAAAAGTGGGAAGGAAGAAGCCTAGCAGTACCAGATCTCATACTATATTAAGAAACAAAAATCATCAAAACAATTTGGTAATGGCTAAAAACAACAGCAGCAACAACAATTGATCAGCGGGTGAGATGAGGAACACAAGACAAAAACAATCATAGCAGTTTAATGTTTAATAAACCCAAAGACTTCAATTACTAGAGTAAGGATGCATTCACTATCTGACAAAAATTGCTGGGAAAACCGGAAAGCAGTCTGGCAGAAATTAGGTTGATGACATATTACACTATATAATACATTAAACTCCAATTAGATATAGGACCTAGAAAGTCATATCACAAGCAAATTAGAGGCAAATGGAAGGAAATTCCATTCACAACCATGGAAAAGGATAAGAGTTCTTGACTACATGAAAGACAGGGAGGATCACAGGTAATAAAATGGACAGTTTTGATTACACAGAATTAAAAAGTTTTTGGACAAAATTAATGCAGCAAAAATTAGGAGGGAAAGGGTTAACTGGGGGAAAAAATCTTTGCAAAATGTTTCTCTGACAAAGGTGTAATATTCAAGATATACAAAGAATTGATTCTAGTATAGAAGAACAAAATCCATTTCCCAATTGACATACCATCAAAGGATATGAACACACAGTTCTCAAAACAATAAAGTCAAGTTAACAATCATACAAAAACACTCCAAATAATTAGAGAAAAGCAAATTAAAACAATTCCAAAAAGCAGGTTAAAGTTACTCAAGCCACTAAATTGAGACTCTAATACTAGACACAATGGACTCTTATGTACAAAAATATTCATTAGCAATGCTTCATTGTAGCAAAAAATGGAAACTAAGTTTCTGTAAACTGTGAAATGGTTGAATAAATTATGCTATTTGTAATGGAACACTGTATTGTCTGAAGAAATGATGAAAGCAATGGATTCAGAGAAACCTGAGAAAGCCATTATGAACTGATGCAGAGAGCAGTGAGCAGGACTAGGAAAACAATTTATACAATGACTACTACACCACTGTAAGCAAAAGAGCTTTTTAAACATTTAGTAACTCTGTTCAATTGAATATCCATCAATGACTCCAGAAGGCAGATTTCCCATCTCTTCACAGAAGTGACTGACTAGAAGTGCATATTCAGGCTTGGCCAATGTGTGGATTTCTTTTACTTGATTATGCTAACTTGTTGTAGAGGAGGATTTGGTGGGGGGTGGGGGGGTTGGGGAGAGAAATTAGAAGGGTAATAGCAATGCCAAAAAAATGAAAGAGCACCAGAGAAGCATTTCAAGTAAATGCAAAGAAGAGGTTCAGAGAGGAATACAGAAAGCAAGACAGCTCTGGAACATGCTGAATTAAAGAAAAACAAACAAGCTGCTTATAATGAGATTCAAAGTTTCATATGCAATTCTATTTCTTTTTTTTTTGTACATAAGATTTCTAGCAGGTGTCATGGTGTTTCAAGTTCAGAATAATAATTTTTTTTTAAAGTCAACCACCAGAAAACTTCCCAGAGCTACCTTTAAATCTGTTAAATGATCAACAGTTTATTCACCATTATAGAGAATCTTAACCAACAACAGTCTATCTAGCAATGTAGAATCTGGGTAGTAAAAACAGGACTCACTACTTAGTTATTAAGCTGGAAATATTAAGCTTCTACCCAAGGTATTGTACTGGCTAGAATCAGGACAACTTTCCAGATTACATGGATTGAAGCCTTCTTTTGTAAATATGTTGGCTTCTAAAAACAAACAACTGTGATTTCATTGGTTGAATAGGTTAGTCCTTGTAAGGAAACTCTCTCTACCAACACAGATCAATCAGTACCTGCTCCATAATTTATAGTATCTGACAGTTCCTTTGGGGTTACTGAGGGTCACACATCCAGGAGGAGTCTGAGGTGGGGTAAATAAATAGCAAGATTCTTTGGTATTTAATATAATTGGCAAATACTAAATACAAGAAGCTTCTTATTAGATCCTTCCACCACTCAAATACTTCTTATGCCCTTATCACGTCAAGATTTATTTTTACTTAACTTTCAGATCAGGTATTCCTTAATTACACTTTTACTTAAATGGGTTTTGGGGGGAGATGGGGAACAAGGTAAGCAAGGCTGTAGGATGAGTTCCCATAAAGGAATTTTCTGAAAGGTCATTTCAATGAAGGAAACCTTGGGGGTCCACTATTGTGTATGTTGTGGGACGAAACTAAAATGAAACAAAACCAAACCAATTAGTTGTTTCAGCAAGCGCTGGAGCTTGAAAAACTTCCCTAGACCACTGCCCAGGTAATAAGGGAAAAGAAAGCAGAGAAAACAAGGGAATTTCTGGATCTCAAAGTTCGACAGAAACCAGGCTACAGTCGGTTCTTCCCACACCTGTCAGCTGACGCTCCCAGCAGCTATTTTTAAAACCCTTCGCGGGGCGGGGTCACTCGTGGGCAGCGCCGGCCCACGTTCCGGAGGCGTTCTTGGATGCCCTGGGCTGGGTACGGGGACCTTATCCTCATCTTTCGCTCCATCCCCCGGCCTCTCGGGCCCCTCTTTGCCCTCCTTTCCAGAAAGCCTTCGTCCGGTGCGGTTCTGGTGCGGGCACCTCGCTGCCTCCCCGCTGATCTCCCCGTCTGCGCACCGAAGCCTGCCCCCTGGCCCGTCGCCCCCTCACCCCAAGGCCACCCCGGTCCACCGCCCGCAGCCCAGGTGCACCAACCCAGCCCCGACCCCCGGCTCTTACCATAGTGAGACCTCCGCTACCCCCAGCCACATCACCCTTCCGGGGCAACGGGCGGAAGAGGCGTTTGGCCCCGCCCCCTCTTCTCGCCTCGCTCCTCACGCTTCCCGATGATTGGTAGGAGGAAGGAACGCGTCTCACGCGCTGCGAGGCTGCGGCTGCGCGGTTGGTCTAGAATTTAGGGAAAGGGCTGCTCAACTGTCCCTGGGTAGTGACGCAATGGGAAGAAGGTCCTTCTGATTGGCCGCGGCTCTTTGTGCCTTGGGAGCGGGCCTTTTGGAGGAAGCCGGAAGTGGAGACTCTGAACGAGGTAGGGCCCGGAAGCGGGGGTGTCCCCGGCGCGCCATTCCCCTGTCCATTGGGGCCAGTCCTTGCTATCCTCGTCCTCTTCGGACCCCCGGGGGCCACCCCAGTTTACCAAGTCCCTCCAGCTCCTCCTAGTGCTGGCTTCCCATTCTTCGCCGCCCCTCCCCCCTGCTTCGGAAAACTCGAGCAAGCCTACCTCCCCCCCCCTTATTTTTTCCCCCCCAGCTCCCGGGGGTGGGGAATCCTCATTCTTCTCCTCAGGGCAGCGGAATACTGAAGGGTCTGGGGGTGGTGGCGGAATTAATGAATTTAAGGAGAACTTGGATTTAGTGGATTGGAATCCCAAAGCCTTTCTCCCAGTCAGGTGCTGGCAAATTGTAAGGCACAGTGATTAAGTATTTTTTAAGCGCTTACTGTATGCAGGTTACTGTTGCTAAGACCCGGGATACACCGAACCCCCTCCAAAGTTCTTTGGTTCCTGCCCTTAAATAGCTCAAATGCGAATGAGGACACAATGTGTCAATGACTAGCTACATTTAAGATACGTACAGAGTAGATGGAACGAAATCTCAGAGGTTAAGGGCAGATGGCCACAGGGAGAGGAGATTGGGAGATCCTCGAGAGGCCTCTAGGAATCACAGGTTAGAAGGGAGAGTATTCCAGGCCTGGGGACCACGAGGGTGGACATTGAGATGCAAGATAGGATGTCCTGTGTGAGGAACCCCGAGAAGGCCCTTGGCTGGGGCATTCAGTTTGTGGACGGTAGTAAAGTGATGAAGTAGGAAAGTTAGGAAAGAACCGTGTTATGAATTGCTTCAAATGTCAAACAGAAGACTTTATTTGATCCTAGAGGTAATAGGAAGTGGAGAGAAGGGAATGACAGTGAGAAATGATCTAGAAGAAGAAATGACAGGTTTTGGTAATGGAGTGGGGACTTAAGTCCAGAATGGCATTGAGGTTGCAAATTTGAGTGTCTAGGAAGATGGTAGTGTCCTCAACAGTTATAAAGAAATTTCAGAAGATGTGGATTTTAGGGTGAAAGATAGCTTTGTTTTAGACATGCTGAGTTTGAGATGCCTATAGCACATCCAGTTCAAAATGGTAGTTGGTGATGTGGAAATGGAGCTATGGAGGGTTGGACATACAGATCTGGGAATTATCTGCAAAGCTAATAATTGAACCTATGGGTGATGATGAAGATCACCAAGTGAGATTGTATAGAAGGAAAAGAGAAGAGAGCTCAGGACAGAGAATACCCACATTCAGTGGAAGTGGCGGGGATGGCAGTCTAGCAAAGGAGATTGAAAAGTGGTCAGGAAGGAGAAGAAACGGGAGAGCAAAGTTATCAAAACTTAGGAAAGTATCAAAGAGGAGAAGGTGACCAATAATGGCAAACATTGTAGAGAGGTCAAGAAGGAAGAAAACAGAAAAGGTGATTAGATTTGGCAATTAAGAAATCATTAGTAAATTGAGAGAGTTTTCCTTGGATGTATTAGGAAGCCAGGTTGCAGAGAGTTTAGAAGAGTGAGACTTATTCAGTGCCATATTAATCAAACTGCCAAAAAATTTCTTCATAGAGCTAGAAAAAAATAATAGAATTCTTCTGCAAGAACAAAAGGTCAAGAATATCAGGGGAATTAATGAAAAAAAATGCAAAGAATGAGGTCAAAATGAGTATGTGATTTAGACATAAAGGGTAATACCATAAACAAATTAGATCAAAGAATAGTTTACCTGTTAGATATAAGAAGAAAGGAAGATTTTATGTCCAAACAAGAGGTAGAGAGCATTATGAGATGTAAAATGGATAATTTTGATTATGTTAAAAAATATTTTTCTTTTTTGCACAAATAAGACCAATATAACAAAGATTAGAAGGAAAGCAGAATGTTGGGATTTTTTTTTTTTAATAGCAAGTGTCTCTGATAAAGGCTTGATTTCTCAAATATATAGAAAACTAAGCCAAAACATAAGTCGTTCCCCAATTGATAAAATGACAAAAGGATATGAACAAGCATTTTTCAGATGAAGAAATCAAAGCTATCTGTAGTTATGAAAAAAATGCTCGAGATCACTATAGATTAGAGAAGTGCACATTAAGACAATTCTGAAGTACCACCTCACATATATCAGATTGGCTAACATGATAGAAAAGTTAAATGATAAATGTTGAAGGGGATATGAGAAAACTAGGACACTAATGCATTGTTGGTAGAGTTGTGAAGTGATCCACCCATTCTGGAGAGCAATTTGGAACTATGCCCAAAGGGCAATCAAACTGTATATTCTCTTTGATCCAGCAATATCACTACTAGACCTATATCCCAAAGAGATTTTTAAAAGGGTGGGGGTGAGGGGTAGGCCTATTTATTTAAAAATATTTGTAGCAGCTCTTTGTGGTAGCACAGAATTGGAAATTGAGGGGATGCCCATTAATTGGGTCATAGCTGAACAAGTTGTGGTATATGAATGCAATAGAATATTATTGTGCTATAAGAAATGATGAGCAGGATGATTTCAGAAAAAAACCTGGGAAGACTTAGATGAACTGATGCTGAGTGAAATGAGCAGAACCAGGAGAACATTGTACACAGTAACAGCTATATTGTATGATAATCAACTATGAATGATAGCTATTCTCAGCAATATAATGAGCCAGTGCAGATGACTTTCTCAAAGAGTTTAGCCATTAAAGGGTGGAGAGATATAGAATAATTGGTTATCCAGGATGGTCATTTCATGTGAGGGTTTTCTTTTGTTTAAGGATGGGAAACACATAGATGTATCTGTAAGTAAGTGTGAAAGATTGAGAATCAGGACCATAGAGGTGGCAGTTGGTGGAGAAAATGAGAGGATGGGATCAAGGTGTACTTTGTGAAGGCATTGGCCTTGTCAAGGAGAAGGGGCACCTTATCATCCAAGACAATTAAAGGAGGAAGTAGTAGGGAGATTGCCTGGTTGATGAGATGAGAAAAGGAGAAGAAGAGCCTGCCTCTTTGTGGATGGCCTCATTCTTTTCAGGGAGGTGTGAAGCAAGGCCCTCAGCTGAGAGGATGAGGGGGTTACTGTGGGAAGCTTGAGGAAAGACAAGTTTTGGAAAAAGCTCATATGGCAAGTAGGCTAGCTGACTGATTAGCAAGAAGCAGAAATACTTCGGTGAGAGCCCAGCTGAAATTAGATAACAATTTTGTAATGGACCTAAGTGGCATGTTTTTGTGTTTTCCTCCTCTGTTCAATAGCATGTGAATAGGCCTAAGGAAGTTGATAGTGGGAGTAGTCCAGTATTGAGGCTTGGCAATAGGACAAGGGGACAAAGGATTTGAGAATATAGGTTAGTGTAGAGTTACCAAGAGGCTGAGGTAGGGAAAGGAGGTAAATGTAACCAGTGCTTGGGTGATGGCCTGGGAAAGAACTGAAAGGAAGAAGAAATAAAGGTCATGATGATGACAAAGAACCAGGTTAGGGTTTGTAAAGCATAAAGAGAGGCTGAATTATACAAAAAAAATTAGGGTCAGATAAAGAAATTTCTGAGTTCATAAACATGGATATGGAACTCTTGTGGGTGATGGCAAGATCAAAGTTAAGATATTATCTATGTGTGGTTAAGATGAATAGTGGAAACATAGTCTGTGGGAATTGAATAAATTAAGGAATGAGGAAGTTAGGTTATTTGATGGAACATCAATATGCATGTTGAAATTCCCTTTATGGGTGCAGGAGTTGGGGTTGAGAGAAAGATTATGAGCCAGGAACTGAATTAATTGAGAAAGGAAGGAAAATGTCCTGATAGACTAATAGATAATCTGCCAGGATTTGGATTGGGAAATAAATAAGAATACTGTGAACATCAAAGGAAGAGAGGTTACTGAATGATAGTGGTAGAGTGAGAGTCAGAAAGTGGCAAGGCACAGCAAGTATTCTGTCTTCCCCATAACAATTAGTGACTTGGAGGTATTAGGGGTAATATAGTCAGTCCTGAAAAGAGCATCAAGGGAATCAGTTTCATCAGGAGGGGGCAGAACTCAGTGAATCCCAGAAGATGGAATATGAGGAAAAAAAAAACATTTAAGGTGAAAGAAGTATGTACATTGTAGAGTCAGAGTTGCAGAGGGCACAGCAGAAGGGGCAGGCAGATCTGGAATGGCCCATGAAAGGAGTAGGGGAGTAATGGGAGTAAGGGATCATACACTTGAGGATGGGGAATGGGGTTTGTACATTGGCAGTTTGGAGTTCAGAATCACTGGGATGGGGAGAGTAACAGAGGATGGGAGTATGCTAACTGTTGAGGAATCTAGAGAGAGTAATAGTAGTTGAAGAGAGGTCTGTTGAAGCATTCGGGTTTATTCTGTCCTTGTCCTTGATTGTTGAGGCCTGAAGTCCTTTCTTATAGCAGTCAGGAGGAAGATGAAGTGTTGCCTGGTGAGTCTGGAAGCAGAGTCAAGAGGCAGGAGGTACTTGGTAGGTCCAGTGCTGGAGAAGGCTGAGGGAGCCTATAGAAGCTAGGAGGTGATGGGGTCTGCCTGGGGCATCAACCTGGCACTGGTATATTGGAGGAGGTCCCAGAACAGAGGGATTGTGTAGAGAATGGAGAAGTAAGGAGGAGGGTGGCAGTTTCTTGTCCTGGGGCAGCTCTAACTACACTAGGTTACAAATACAAAAAAAGAAACGTTTTCCACTCTCAAGGACCTTACATTCTAAATGAGAGACTTGGATTATTTTTTAGGCATAAAGTAAAATAAGAATAAAATTGTAAAGTAATTAAAACTGCCCAGGTATACAAGATAGTAAGCATTTAATAGGGACCTGAATCTTTCTAGGTAGTTATTTCTCTTAATTGCCTGGATGTTGTCAGGAAAATGACTATGGGTTCTTTCACTGAGAGATTGAAGGCGTTTGGATTGAGATGCTTAACTTTTTCCCCTTCACATTCTACATATAGCAACTACTGCTGACCAATTGTCTGATTACACAGTGCTAATACCAATGTTTAAGAATCTAAATGAT